CTGTTTTGCCAATGAACATATTTCTGATGCACGTAGTCCAGTCAAAAAATTGGAAGACGGTTCTTTCTGAGACCAGCTTGAAATAATTTTGCATACAAAATATTGTATACAAACTACCTTGACTTTGACATTTAAACATTTTTTTTCAGTAGCTTTTCTCTATGCTTCAACAGTGTCTAGGTAATTTTCAGTGTTTATTACTTTGTGACTGCATAAGGGGTTTCATGCTTTGAACTTACAAAGAAAACATTAGGAGGATATGGCAAGGTCCTGCCACTTGCACCTTTCTTTAGTTTGTTTTTTTTTTTTTTACAGTTCTTATGTCTGGAGATTAAACATAGGAAGTGTTTTATTAATGATATCGTTTCACAACGTAGAGTTTCAGCTAGGATGCACAAATGAAGATTTCTCCTTTTCTGCAGGGCTCTCTGGTCAGTTGATGGGGATGATTTGAAGAGTCTGTTGGATTGTGTAGACCAGTGTGAGATGTGGCAATCAGATGTCACAGACTTAAAATTTAAGAGTGACAGTAACAATGTCTGCTACAACATGACTAGAGGTTATTTACAACTCTGCTTGCTGGTCTTTGTAGTGTTCCTTTGTAGTGTTCCTTAACAGACAGGCAATGTTCTGAAGATATCAGTGGTGCAGAGAACCCCTGCTCCAGTGCAGCAGCTTTACATTTGTGGGACCAGAGCATCAGCTGGTATAAATCTGTCTTGAGTTCCCTTTGCACAATCTTCAGGTACCACTGAGCCTCAAAGCCCAGACAGGTGTCTGTCCATTTAAACATGCTGTAAACCATTTATGGCATGGTATTAGACAGTTATTTCATGGTACCTGGTGGATTGTTGCTGTAATTAACACATAGATGTTGGTTTAGAGTGTGCTAGAGTATTAGACTTTAACTAAGCTTCATTCTCAGAGAGGCAGTTCAAATTTAACAGACTACAGATTTTGTCATTTACTATATATTTCTGTTAGAGAAATGTGTAATTCTAATTTAGGAGGGAAAACTGTTTTTAGACAGAAATTACCCTACTTCTTGGTGGACAATCACAGCTTCCTTCTAGGCACACCTTCCCCTGCTCCCATCTTCCCTTTGAAGAAAAAAAACCACAGCCAGCTGGATGTGTGAGAAAATCTTTCTGGCTGTGAAGGGTCACATGGTATAGCAGAGCTGTATTTCCCCTCTCCTCCTGAGGTTAGATAATCTGTTTTCTTATTTGCATTGGAAAATACCAATTCCTATTTTGTCTTCCTACCTCAAGTTTTTTTCAGTTTCTGCATAGCTAAGAGAAAGGTCTGCTTCTTAAAATGTTTTTCTGTCACCATGAGTTAAAATCGAATTTTTATGCTGATTTCTCATGGCTCTCTTCTGCTTTACAGAATGTTGTAGTCCATATTCTCTGGGATGGAAGTAAACTCTCTTTTGGTGGGACTGTGAGATACCTTTGAACATGCAGATTATTATTTGTTTAGTACCTGTTATTATTTGCTGTTTCCTTTTTTTTAATTTAGTGAGGATTTATTGTATCAATCTACAGGGGCTACAGCAATAGTTGTCTTATATTTGCTATCTGTAACACCAGCATGTTATGATTCAATGAGAGAACATGTTTATTTTTAATGCTACTGTCTACAATTAATAAATGGCTGCATTGCAGGGTCCCTCAGTTGGATGTTTAATGTTGGCATTTATGTTATTCAGTTTTTCATGGTGGTGATCTGCAAGAGTATTTTTCTGTAGAAATGCTGCAACATGTACTCCTTTTGATGTCAAGAAACATTTGGGCAGGCAACCAGGCAACATTCATTTATTGTACTATGTAAATAAGATTAATAGAAGCTATGGCACTGTATTTATTGCTTACACTAAGAAGAAAATGGAAAAAATGTGAAGTTATTTTTTTGGTTGTTTCATTTTCACCCTGTTCATACGAGTCATGCATTTTAATTGCTGAGAAAAGTATTGTTTCTGATCAATAAAATATTACTCAATTTATTCATCTCTCTTGTGCTGTAATATAACAAAGCTGATCTAAATTGGCTTTCACAGATGTTTTAACTCTGTGCAAGTTAAATATTAACCCAAGGAGAAAGTAATTACATAGACTTACTAACAATTATTCTGGTTTTAAGTGTTTTTCAATACTTATATTTAATACTGGAGTGCTGAATTTCTGGAGGAAGTTTGTACAGATAATATGAGATGACTGGACATAAAATTATTTACCTGAAAGTTTCATATTCCTATTTCTTGTCTTCCAAATCCACCTTTTAATAAAAAGTTATTAGTACTTACTTACATTAAGCCAAAAATGTCTGTTTCAGCAGGAACTAACAGCAGAGACTAAATTGAGTGTATCTATCTTCTTCATCCCATCAGTTGAGGTGGAGGTAGATAAGCAAACCCAAGCTCAAATGAAAAAAAGCCAAGAAATATTTAACCACACCAGGGGATCTTAAATATTGGGTGTTAATACTGCTGTCTGCCTGTTACTCCTATTTAAAGTGTGCCAATATCCACCCAAAAAATGAAATGCATCCAAAAAATCTCCTGCCTCTCTTCATGACTTCTAATCAGCAGCCTGTAATTCCAGGTAGGTTTTTTTGAACTCCAGTTCCTAGGACCAAATGTCAGACAGTGGAAATTGTTACAGACTCTGAGGTATGTCTGGTCCTTCAGTTCTCTACCAATACTCCCACTTACTGATTCTGTGTATGTACACAATTAAAACTGGTCCATTTAACAATTACTCTCTACTGTTATACAAGTAACTGTAGAGAAGAAGTAAATACAATCCCTCAAATCCAAAAGTTGCTCCTTACAACACTTTATTGTAACTCACACCCAGCAGTAGAAAAGGAGCACAAATGATAGCTACAGTAGCATTTGCCGATGCAGTACAGATGCCCAAAAAGCAATTAAATAGCAAAATGAAACCCAGCATCCTAACCCCCTGAGACTAAACTGTGATCCTTACACTTTCTATATAATTTAAAAAGTGGAAATCATCTTATAGCACAAGATACTGATACAAACTTATCAATATCCCATCAATATTGGCACAGAATCCTGTTCCACTCTGTGCAGGATACAAAGATTACTGCCTTTGAAAATATTCCAATTACTCCAACAGTGTATCTTGCTCTTTCCTGTCATAGCAGTCACAATTGAAGTCAAAGTTCTAAACCAAAGTTGTAGCTTTTGATAATGATCTGACTCTGAACATCTGTGTGCCAAGAAAATACAAAATTCATTTTGAACTAGATGAAATCCATTCCAAAGTGAGTCTGACTGCAAGTGCAGCAGTGACAGACCCCTGTTTATAATCACAATTATCTATCCAATCACCCTACAGCTCTTTAACATCTTTTAAACCATACTCCCTAAATGAACAATTCTAGTTCATCCACATGGAGTTCAAGCTTCATATGAGGTAAATGACATGCAAGATTCTTTTTAAATTAAACTCAGTTTTAATCACTGCCCCCTAAATTATAAATATATTTTCAGCCAGTATTTCTAATGACTATTTCAAAGTTTTCTTCCCCTCAACAAGATTCAACACTCTAAATAAAAACTCTTACAAAGATAAAAGATCATATTATTATTGCTAATTCCTTTGAAGCTTAATACATGGTTTATGTGAATTTAACAAACTATAAACACACACAAAAAAAAAAAAATCAAAGCCTGTTTCCCGAAAAGTGCTTACACTCAACACGATTCACCACTCTAAATAAAAACTCTTACAAAGAGAAAAGATCATATTATTATTGCTAATTCCTTTGAAGCTTAATACATTGTTTTATGTGAATTTAACAAACTACAAACACACACAGAAAAAATCAAAGCCTGTTTTCTGAAAAGTGCTTACACACTACTGTTAATTCCTGATTTAAGATGAATGATCTTTCCTGGAAATTCAGATTTCACAATCAGTATCAAAATGAAAAATTGCCACAAGGGAAAAAGTGCCCAGAGGTGGTTTATGTGAATTTAACAAACTATAAACACACACAAAAAAAAAAAAATCAAAGCCTGTTTCCCGAAAAGTGCTTACACACTATTGTTAATTCCTGACTTAAGATGAATGATCTTTCCTGGAAATTCAGATTTCACAATCAGTATCAAAATGAAAAATTGCCACAAGGGAAAAAGTGCCCAGAGGTGCTGGTCTGTTGAGTCTAAGTTTTATTGGTGGAATCAGGCAATTTAAACCAAGTTCTTCCCTGTGAAGGAGCCAGGAGCAAACCCTTCTATGCAGAGAACTGGTTTGGAGCCAGTGGGCCCATGGCCAGTGGTTGGGGCAGAGTCCAGCAGGGAATCCCAGAGCTGTACAGCAAATATATAATCATAAGCCATGCACAAATTATCAAAGGAGAAAACAGCCTTGAACATGAGTATTCATGTATTTGCTTGGCTCCTTACCTTGATACTTGAAAATGAAAGGTGACAAACATTTGTAGCAGAGAAACTCCTCCCAAAGGTTCTCTACGCCTTGGACAGGGATCACTGTAAAGTGGTGGTGTCTGACACAGTGAAGTCCATAGACAGCTGGTCCATTTTGTGGAAGCTTTACATATAAATAATTAAGAAAACAAAATACTGAATTAGTAGGGAATAATATTTAGATGCTACAAAAAGTAGGTTGCACTAAACAGAAATAGCTATCAGAGTGTTAACACAATAAACATGATGATAAAAAAAACATTGCTAGATATGAGGGAATTAGAGCAAAGGGGACAATAAGTAGAATGAACTGTTCTGTGCCTATTTTTTTTAATGTGGTATAAAAAGTTTTCAAGACAGAGCATTGTCACCTTTCAAACCCCATAGTTATAGATGTATAGAAATTATAATGACTTTGTCCCTTACACTCCCGTGGATGTAGACCTAGATTTCACAATCAGTATCAAAATGAAAAATTGCCACAAGGGAAAAAGTGCCCAGAGGTGCTGGTCTGTTGAGTCTAAGTTTTATTGGTGGAATCAGGCAATTTAAACCAAGTTCTTCCCTGTGAAGGAGCCAGGAGCAAACCCTTCTATGCAGAGAACTGGTTTGGAGCCAGTGGGCCCATGGCCAGTGGTTGGGGCAGTGTCCAGCAGGGAATCCCAGAGCTGTACAGCAAATATATAATCATAAGCCATGCACAAATTATCAAAGGAGAAAACAGCCTTGAACATGAGTATTCATGTATTTGCTTGGCTCCTTACCTTGATACTTGAAAATGAAAGGTGACAAACATTTGTAGCAGAGAAACTCCTCCCAAAGGTTCTCTACACCTTGGACAGGGATCACTGTAAAGTGGTGGTGTCTGACACAGTGAAGTCCATAGACAGCTGGTCCATTTTGTGGAAGCTTTACATATAAATAATTAAGAAAACAAAATACAGAATTAGTAGGGAATAATATTTAGATGCTACAAAAAGTAGGTTGCACTAAACAGAAATAGCTATCAGAGTTAATACAATAAACATGATTATAAAAAAAAGGTCATTAGATATGAGGGAATTTGAGCAAAGGGGACAAAAAGTACAACTGTTCTGTGCCTATTTTTTTAACGTGGTATAAAAAGTTTTCAAAACAGAGCATTGCTACCTTTCAAACCCCATAGTTATAGATTTAGAGAAATTATAATGACTTTGTCCCTTACACTTCCATGGATATAGACCTGAAACATCAGAGAAGAGCTAGGAACACAAATACTTAATCACATTTTCCTTAGCTAACCTTGAACAGGAGCCAGATACCTGCAAATTTAGTAGAGACCCCCAAAGTGCATTTGGCAGGGTTTCCTGGAGGGATCTGCAGCCACAGAGCAGGGCCCATACCCAACCTGCTCCTGTTCCTCACAAGGAGCAGAACTCCCATCCTGGGATGCCAGCTGGGCTCCAGCAGCTGTCCTCAAGCACTGGCTCCTTCTGGCACAGTTTGGGCAGATGAATGCAGTAAGGGTTTCCTTACTCCAGGGTTTGCTTCCAGAGCCTGCAGGCATTCAGCCACCAGAGATATACTTCAGGATCTGCAAGAAAAAAATTCACAGCAAGAGCTCTCAGTCTGAGCTGACCTGAAGATTCCTCAAACTTATTATTAATTTATTTATTTATACTATTTTTCTTTTTTTTATTTTTACTATTTATTTTTCTGGTTTATTATTTTACAACTAATAATATTTTTACTACTAATAATATTTCTCTAGTTTACTAGTTTATTATACTGTTCCATGGGTTACAGCACACTGCAGTGACAGCCCCTTGTTTTTCATGTTCCCAACCCTCTTACAAAAAGCATCCCCATTTAACATAACTGGGATACTCTTAATCCAGATGATGCAATGGACTTGCTACAAAAATTTAGAAAGTTGGAATATCAATGCCTTCAAAATCTTCATAGCAAATACCTGTGGTAAAACTAGTTAAATTTCAGATAAATTCAAGGTATGGACTCTGAGCCAAACAGTCCTTTCCATGCCAAGTCTGCATTTGCTATGAGGTGTAGAAATTGTTTCCCTTTCCTTTGTCAGTGGAAAATGACAGCAGCTGTTTTTCATGTAAAGCTAATTACCTCTTATTTTTCCCCACATGGACTCGTTTCTAACAGTCAGGAGTGCTCTGAATAGTCTTCTTTAGCTGTAATTAAAAAGCTTGTTAGAATGATCTGTAATTCATGTGTAAAAAATTCTGAGAGAAGAAGGTTCAATCAGAAGCTTTCACAGAAATAATGAAAATATTGAAAGCAAAAATAGAAACATGCTAGTAGCAAAACTCTCTAAACGTATTTTTGTTGCAGACAACAACAGCACTACTTGTAATTATGTTTTCATTATATAATTATGTTTTCATTATATAATGGAAAAATATTTTTAAGTCATGTAAAGTGAGGGGTTTTTTTTAGAAGTACAAGCATTTAAAACGGTAAAATATACTTTCTATTTAAATTTCAGCAAAATATTTTTAGTTTTCCACCTTACTGTCCATCCCATCACCTCAGGTCTCAGTATTTCTCCAGTACTGGCATGACTTTTATTATTTCCAATAAAATCTTCCTCCCATTTCTTAGTATTCACCAAAGGCCAGGCCCCAGCAGTTCTATGTGCTCTGCAAGATGCTTTCTTTTCCACCAGCCCTCTCCAAAGATGGAAGCTGGAGGCAGCACTGCTCCAGCCCAGCATCCTTTCCAGCTGTGCAGGAGCAGGGCAGGAGGGCAGTCACCAGCACTCCCCGAGTCTCGTGGCACAGGGATGAACAAAGTGCAGCCTCAGAGAGCCTTTACCTCACTCATTTCCTAGGCAAAGTTGTTGTGGCACTGGGGGATAACTGGCATTGCTCCTTCCTGCAAGGAAGAATGCTCAGAGCTGGTGTCTGGCTGGACTCTCCCTGCTGAGCTGTGGAATCTCTGACCTTCTCCTCAAGCACTCCTTGTTTGTGTCTTTTAGTGCTGTTGAAACAACTGATGGGAGCAGGAATCTGCACCAGTTCCTACATGCAGGGGTGGCTGCAAATTAAACAGACAAATCTAAGAATTTATCCTATTCCCAATCCAGCAGAAGCATAAAATAAATAAAGCATAGAATTATTGAACATACAGAGCACACTGAGGGCAAATAACACCAAGGTCATGGGCTCAATCCCTGGACAGACCGTTCCCTTTGGAGTTGGACCCAATGGTCCTTGTGGGTGCCTTCCAGCTGAGAACGTTCTGTGATTCTGACCAGAGACAACATTAGCATGCAGAGCTTATAGAGCAGTCTTACAAAAACAAACAAACCGAACAACTGAACAAAAAAAGCACAAACCAAAGAGAAAGTGAATAAAAGAGATGCTTGTACAGAAAGGGAGTGTCTCTGATTTGAAGAATTCCAAAAACAATCTCTCTTCTGTCCTTGTAAAAGAATTGCACTTTAGAATAAAGAGAAATTGAACATCCATCTATTTTCAGACATTTCTCACTGGTTTTCGAGACACAGACATGCTGGTGAGGGGGGGAAAAAAAATAAAATTAAGAGGGGGCCAGGACCTTCCTCCATTAGCAGCAGTGGGCACACCCCACTTAGCAGAAAGAAGGGGCAGCAACTCCACGCATCTCTTTTGGCTCCTCTTTCCTTAATTTCCCTTCTTTTATGCACAACATGATATCATCTGGCCTTATCTACAGTGATTCTACATGATGAATTCCTTAGCCATCCAGCCCAGCTCCTAACAATGCGTGCCAAGACAAAGAAATAATTCTTATTGCTGTTAAAGCAATACTTACTGTCAGAGGTATTTACTTTGTCTAGGCTAGACAGGAAAGTTCCCATAGACTTAAGTGAAGCAGTTTGGATAAGACATCCAGACCATCCTAACAGTCCTGAACTGAGCAGGAACTTTTTAAAGGTTGAAAATTGTTTCTTAATAATGTCTCCCTTGGTTGCATCTTAAAGCAGCAATCTATAGAATGATTAACCTAGTAGTGGTTCCTTCTGAACTGGAACTAGCTAAATTGTAGAGGACTAGTGTGAGTTTGAGTTAAATACAGGTGGGTGTGCACCATTAAATAAATAAAACTTAAGAAAGCAACTTTACCCTGATTGCTTCCACCTACTCCCTGAACTAGCACTGTTGTCATTTTCACAAACCAGCAGCATCCATGCAGTCTGACCATGGTGTTCCTTTTTGGCATGTTCTGTTCACCAATTTCTTAACAACCACTGTAAAGAAGAAAATTACTGTTCTTAACAACCACATGTGAAGTTGGCTGGTCAAATGCAAAATGAGTTGGAATCTGTGGTTTTTGTGTTCATTCTAACATTCCTGTATGGGCTCTGTGCTACCTTTGCTGAAGTCCTATACATTTATTTTACAGCCCTTATTTGAAGCAGCTTCTGAAAGTGCTTTATCACCTACAGGCAGGAAAAACATCAGGTTTTAAAACCCTTGATAGGTGTGTGTCCTCTAATCAAGGGCAAGGTAGCTGTGCACTCTGATGGACATGCTGTGTGTTTAGCAAGGAACACTTAGAGAATCAAAATTTTCTTCAAGTCACAAATAATTGACATCTACAGGAGACTGTAAATTACAGCAAAGGGAGAAAATATGCTCTGAAGTACATTAAAATACACAATGAAAGAATCAAGTGAATGGTGCCTTCAGAAAACTGACACTGAAATTATTACCTTTCCCTGGCCTTTGTGTTATGTTCTCAGGCCCACAATGAACTGAAAGATGTGATGTACTGAAATCACTACATGCACATCTGACTTCAGGACACAATAGGAAAGAACAGAGAGGTACCTGGCAAAAATGGGTTCCCTTGTTGCTAAGATCAGAGGGTTTTTATCACTGCTGCCTCATTGCCTTCGTCACCGGGGTGCTGCAGTGAATCTCCTTTCTAGACCCAGTGTGATTTTGGATAGTTGCATTGCAGATAATGTGCTGGCTTGATAATTGCAGGTCCAAAATTACACTTCCTTGCATAAGAGAAATGTTTAAATTTAAAGGAGAATGCTGGCAGGAATTTCTGTCTCACCATTTTCATACTTCACTTTTCAAACAAGGCAGCTCAAATGACATACTAAAGATACATGAAATATCATCTAGTATGTTCTTCTGAATTCAGCCTTTTCCTCATGTGAAGTGTAAATAACTGTTTAAAAATTGAGAACAGGAGATCCTCTCACTAACAAATGCATGGTGAGAGCAACATGTTCTCATTTTAGTGATGACAGAAAATTCAGCAAAGAAAAATTTTGCTTCTCCCCATTTGCTTTGAGCTTGTCACTATATTTTTGCAAGCTCCCTTCCTCATCTGTAAATACTCAGCATGGTCATGAGATAAGAAATGCCAATATTTTAGCCTCTCCAATGATGTGTCAGTAAAACCACAGCACTCTGCTGTGAGGCTCAGAGTTAATTCACCTGCAGATGAGGCTGAGTGCCTCTGAAGGCTGCACTCCCAAGGAGCTGTGAGCCACAGACCCACCCAGCCCTGCAGAGCTCAGAGAGCAGGAGCTGAGCTCTCAGCCATAAACAATCATGACAAGAGCCATCTTCACCTGTCAATTCAGTGCAGCTCTCTGAGCACCCAGCCATCCTGGGAGTAAACTTGTTCAGGGGTCCTTTTTTAGCTGACATTGGATTATTCTTCTTTCCTGTAAGCCATGCAGGAACATCTGCAAGAGAAAAGCTCCTTGAGACCTTCACCACTCCTGCGAATCTGAACAGGGCCAAACATATTCTGATCTTTTATTGTTTAAATATTTTGTTTATTTAGCTATTTTGCCTCCTTTATTCTGTTCTAAGAGCCAAGATGTCTTTTTCAACAGCTAATATAATGTTTTATGTTTTGGCTTGTTTTTTAAATCTGTAGCAGTACCCATCACCAAGTGCTCCCTTCTTACACTGGCAGTTTAGCACAATAGCTATTCCAGATTAGCTATTCCAGAACTCCCATTGAGAACACTCTTCCTCCAGAATAAAAATAGGTTTGTGAAGTTTTTTTTACTTAAGTTGCTTTATTTCTGTTGGAAGAAAATATTTTAAACCATGAAGTATTTTTTCTGGAATATCTACTCTGGCAGATGTCCAAGCACAGTTGTCCCATCAGTAGCAAATGGGAAAGTAAAACAAAGCTCTCCAGCAGGACAGGGCATATTTTCAATCTGTAAATCAGCATCTTCTAGTATTAGGTCCTTGTTTAATAATTTTATGGTAAAAATTACTGTTCTTGTCCACTTGCAACATGCCTCCATATCTGCTATGGCCCACCATTCAGCAAAGAGTCACAAATAAAATTTTAATAGGCAGAAACAGTGGAGATATCTGAGTTTCTTGAAAGAATTTAAAAAAAAAAAGTGCCACAGCAAGCTTGTAAGCCTTCAAGAACTGTGTCACTCCAAATCTGTGTATGTGGGTTAATGTCTATTTTGCAAATGCACAAAAGCACAGACATTGGCAATAAAACAAATGCTACAGACTAAATTCCACTTCCACCATGAAATGCAGTAACTAAACTGCCCCCTAAGAAAATCAATCAACTATTATCTATTTAAGTTATTATAGTTTTGAAATATTAAAATATAGTGAAGGAAAGAATTGTTTACTTTGAAATTGTTGAAATTGTTCTTGAAGAAATTATTTTGTAAGGAAAAAGCTCATTATTTTTAAAAGGCTATGATAAAATACAGAAGAGGATATCAAAATATTTTGTACATCAAAAATATAGACTATGAAAAGCAAAACTCTTAAATGCTAAAATGTATCATATTCTTTTCTCTCTGGTCTTTTGTCATTTAGCCCAATATACGTCATATGTCAAATTTAGATAGATATAGATATATATATATAGATATATATATATAGGGTTTATTCATCCTTAACATTTTCCTTTTGGCAACACATGGCATCATTTCAAGCACAGTGGATTAAATCTGCTCTCATCACCAATTACTGGTGCATATCCCATTTTCAGATCCCTGCCTTGCAGTGTGGCTCTCCCTGATAAAACAGCCCTGTCCTGTCTAGAACTCAGATCTGCTCTAACACAAATTCCAGCTGCCTCCTTCAGCTTCCAGAGGCTCTGCCTGGAGCTGGTTCCTGCCCTCCCTTCCAGCAGCCTGTTGGAGCTTTAGGAGCAGCCTGGAACAGCAGCGTTGAGTCAGCTCTGAGGAGCTGTGCCTCAGTGGCTCCTGTACTGCCCACGGGGATGGGGCAGCCACAGCTTCTCTCCCTAATATTTCATCTAAGGATTAGATATTTCTTCCTAATATCTAATCTAAATTTGCATTTTCTCAGTTTAATACCCTTCAAGAGATAACAGCACACTGACAATATCTTTAATGTTATTTTGTATCTTCTTACCTTGAACAATAATCTTAGATTTTTTTTTTAAATTCATGAATATGGTATTCATATTTGGGGCAAAATAAGAAAGCTGTAGGGTTTTTTTCATGTTTTCTGATGTCACTCAAAGCAGAGAGATGCTTTGGGCTTTGTCCTTTTAGTCAGTACATTGAAATCCTTAAAACATTCCAGGTTTATATTCAATTTGTGAGTCATGCCTTATATCTAAAACACTCATCTGTCTGCTCTTGGAAATGAGAATTTGCCAAAATAATTTTTGCAAAAGAGTATTTTTTTCTTTTCAGACAATTTCTAACAATGTGACCTGTCACTCCAGACATTCTCTCCCCCAGCCCAACCTAATTAGATTACAAATATTTTTCTCCATCTGATCACAACAGCACCAGGATTTGTTCGTGTCTGTGATGCACAAGCTGCACGAGTCCAGTCCTGCTCACAGCTGGACTGTGCCAGTATTCTCCTTGGAAAGGTCTCCACACAGCTGAAGTTTACCCCTGTTGTCCCAGTAACAAAACCACTCAGCCTGCTCACCAGGAGCTCAGCCCAGCTCTCATCCCTCGCAAACAGCAGTGGCAGATTGCTGATTCATGCAGCTCCCTTGGGCACAAACCTCCACCAGGGCTCCCTTCCAAGGGAATCAGCAGCTGGGGCAGCAACATTGCTGGGACCCACCACAAATCTGCGTGCTCAGAAATGTGCATGCTGAGAAACCTCCAAATCTGCATGCTGAGAAATCAGCATGCTGAGAAACCTGCATGCGCAGAAACCTGCAAATCTGCATGCTGAGAAATCTGCAAATCTGCATGCTCAGAAATCTGCACACTCACAAATCTGCATGCTCAGAAATCTCCAAATCTGCACACTCAGACATCTGCACATTCAGAAATCTGCACATACAAGAATCTGCACATACAAGAATCTGCACATACAAGAAGCTGCAAATCTTCATGCTCACAAATCTGCACACTCAGACATCTGTAAATCTGCATGCTCAGAAACCTGCATGCTCATAAATCTGCATGCTCAGATATCTGCAAATCTTCACACTCGGACATCTGCACACTCAGAAATCTGAAAATCTGCACACTCAAGACATCTTCACACGCAGAAATCTGCAAATCTGCAGTCAGACATCTGCACGGTCACCTCTTTCCCCAGATCCTGATATTCAGTAGCACCAAGTCCAATATCCTTTAGGTACACAGAAATCTGCAAATCTGCATGCTCAGAAATCTGCAGTCAGACATCTGCACGGTCACCTCTTTCCCCAGATCCTGATATTCAGTAGCACCAAGTCCAATATCCTTTAGCTACATGTTGGAACCCTGGATGCTGAGAATTTAGGGCTTTCTGTGCTGAGGGGTACAGAGTCGCAGGACAGCACTGCATTTGACCTGGGGCTGTGGAGAGGGTTTCCAAAATTGATTAATAGCACTGGGATTATGGGTGTGTAGTTGGTTAGAAGTGTGTAATATCACAGGGTGGAAAACTTAAGAGTGTGGGGTTTTAGAATATAGTAATATATATGAAGCAAGATGGAGGTTTTAAGGCAAAGACAGGTTGTTCTTTACCGTCTTCTTCTTCCTTCTTCATGGGTTTGGGTGATATTTTGTAATTGGGCAGAGAAGTCCGTATTGCAGGCTCTTTGGGATCAGTTATTGGGTTGAAAGGGGAAATAATTTAGGTGTAATTTCTTAATTGGATAGTTGAGCCTTAAAAGACCTTGTAACAAGAGGTAGTTAGCCATTTTGTGCCTTGCTAATGAAAGACTACAGAACTCAGGGCTGTGAGGCTGTGTCACTGGTAAGAAACAACAAACACCTGAGTCTGAATGCCAACTATTGTCTGGAGTGCCTTCAATCCTGACCCCAAGAGAGGTAGAAAAAGCAAGCAGAGAACCCACACTATGGGCTGACATTCCTGTTTCCTTCCAATGCTGCCCCGAGCCTCTGCAATGATCTGTTTCCTCCTTTAGGTTCCTAAATAAATCCCCACGCTCTCAAAGTGCTGAACACAGGACAAATGTATCTGAAGTGGAGAAGTTGGCAAATCCTAGCCTGCTGCAAGAGTCCAAAGGGCCACAAGTTGGTATTCTGCCTGTTTCTTTAAATTAGTAGAGAAAAACACCAACTGTTGGAAAGATATCTGACATCGCATCTTTCAAATCCTATTTTTAAAGAAGGGAAAATTTTCCTTTTCTTACTTACTTAATTATTTTGAGTCTGTTTATACAACACAGCCCTTTGGATGAATTTGTTCTTTCCTAGCTTGTTTCTCTGCATTTCTGCCCGGAATGATCAATGTCCAGCTGTGGACACAGGAGCTCTAGGCTCAGCTTGCAGCTTTCTTCATGTTACCTGCAGCATGGCTGTTTCACAGACCTTGCTGGCCCATTGCTGAGCACACATGACAAGCACATTGGAGAGGTTGTGTACTCTTAGCCACAAAAACCACTAGAGGGTCCCTCTGCTATAAGCTGATATTAAAAACAAATAAGGTGTTCTTTCCAACTTCTGCAGTAAAAATGGTGATCTTCCATCAGGTTGTTGCATGTTGAAGCCATGCACAACACTCAAAGCAGAGGGAAGATGTCTTGTCTTCCTGAATAAAAATACAGCTGAATTTGACACTGGTCTTTTCCAACACAAAGTATGGATAGTTCTTTTTTGTGAATTTAATTGTGTGAAATAAAGACAGTAAAGACCATCAAAAATTACTCACAGACATTTGAAATTTCCTCCAAAGCTAGATTTTCTCTTAGGAGTGATAATTCTGTTGCCTGCCACTCAACCTTGTGAATTTAGTCTTATATTAATTTTTTCCTTCTCACTGACAGCAAGAAATTGAGAACTTTGACCAGTGACTGTGAAATGCTCTGAACACTCTCCAATCCTTAGCATTATTTCAGTTTCTTAAAATGTATTAACAATAATATTCAGAGGGCACAATTACCATTTTAGCAATCCCAATTAAGTTTTTCAGAAGGAGCAGGAGCTGCCCTGGGGACAATATGGTTCCCAAGCTGGAGATTTTCTAATTGCATGTCTCAAGGTGATCAGGGACAAAGGGTACAAGGCCCAGGGGCTGGAGGAATTTCCTCCAAACAGATAACTGAGCCATTCCTCCCGGAAATGGTCTCACTGCTTACAAGGCAATGATATATTTGAGGTGGTGTTAGAATTTTTCATTCTCCTCCTCCCACCCTCCATGACAGATAAGCATTCTGGGGTGAATCATGCTGCATGTAACATAATGAGTTATCACAGACAAGAAGCTGCAAATAAATGTTTTTCTTACATTGAGTTCATATGCATTTTCTTGGAAGGGTAAGAAAGGGAGTGCTTGATAATTGAATTACTGTGCTTCCTTACTGAAGTCACTTCCTGATAAGCAGCCAAACTAATTGGCTAAAATGAATGAGAGAGCTCAAATAACCCAGTCATGGCCAGCCACAACTGGTGCAGTATTATAGTAAGGAAACATATATTATTTACTTGTAAACAACAAGTACCAGCCCAATAAAACCATTACGAATTTCTTGTAGCATTCATATTTCTACATTTAAAAAGGTAAAGCCATTTACGAGAAACCACTGTCAAAGATCTTAACACTGTCTTTAACCTCAACCTTTGTTTTTATTTTCTTTCCCAGAATCAAGGCTTCACATGAGCAGCTTTTACACTGTATTTTTATAAAATATGTTTTAAACCACATGTACATAAAAGAAAACCCCAGGAAACACAAACTTTCATCTGAAACTCACAACGAAATAAGCATAAGAATATTCCCATGGAAATTAAAAAGAGTCCTGTTATGCTATCTATAGACTATAGGGCTACGTAGTACTGAATACATTTGCAGAACTTTTTAATATACCTTAAATCAAGAGAACATACAAGCTCCAAATATCCCAAAAAGCTTTTTTGAGAGTTCTATTAAAGTCATTCCAGCTGTGTTATTGAAAGTAGCTCCAATCCCCAATGCAGTTCTTTCATGTTCTGCCACCATGTCAACGACCCTTTGCAATCAGTGCTGTCTTCTATAAGAAACCCAGCCACAGAAAGCAGCTTGCTTTTTTCCACTTTTCTAGTAACTACTTTTTCAGTGTTACGACCTTAATTCAGAACATTTGGTTGCATTTGAAAAATGCTCATTTAATTTAGAGTAACAAGCTTGAAAACTTTCTCAAAAGTTCTGCTAACTAGAAATTGTTCTGTTTCTGCCTATTGGAGTTCTTAGCTACACAATTAGGACTGATAATTAATCTAATGCTTAAAAGTTGTCTATCCTTTATTGGGAGTACCTTTAAATTAACAACTTTTGTGCTGCTGGAATTCATGAATTGTAGAGTGGAAGTAATAAGATTTACAAATGTTCTTTACCAAACCTCCCACCCTCTTGGCTTTTTCCTGCTGAGAATGTTTCAGTGGTTACCTGACTCACTTTGGCACAAAGTCTGAGGCTGGTTACACAAATTAAATTTCTTTAAACTTACCTTTGTTGAACAAGTGACCAGACTTTGCCGTGAAGTTCTTGAAGAGGGTATCCACATGAGCAGAGCACTCCATGGAGGGGCTGTAACAGCAGCAAGTGTGTGTTTGAGACAGTACAGTAACAACATATTCCATTCTCATTGCAATCTGCAATGCTGGAAATCTTCACAGTGTAAATGTGGGGTTCTGTTAGTGAAAATACAAACGTGAGAGGGGCCTCTCCACGGCATCAGGCACAGTGACCCAGCTGCAGGGAAAACAACGAGGGGTTGTTGATCACCAAAGCCCCTAAATTATTATGACTCAGTTTTCATACAAATTATTCCCTGCTAAACAAATGTTTTCATGCACTAAAGAACTGATACTCCATGAAGGAGCTGGTTTCACTAATATAAAAAAATATATATATAAAAAAATTTAGGCATAAAGCTCTTGGAAAAGCCAAAATAATCATGCTATTTGGTATAGTGGACCTGATATCTGATATCAAACTGTGCATGGAAACAGCTACAAGCACTGAATTGGGTACTGGAAACTGAACTCTGAAAAAGGCAGCAGCATCCAAAGCCAGGTTAGTTAATCCTTATCCCAAAACAGCACTTACTTTTGGTGATTACTTTGAAGGATGGAAAGGCTGTTCCCAGCTTGTTCATGGGCTGTGTCCTGGACTGACCAGCTCTGTACTGGAAGGAGGAGCACTGAATGTAGAAGTGTCTCTGCCTTCAGCACAAATTTCGGGTGATCCCCAGCTGCCTTGAGCTGGCTGTGTCTCAGGGGTTCTGGTGAGAGCCTGTGGGCAGCTTGCAGTGGTTGGGGGAACGGTGTCAGTGGAGTTTAAGACAGAGGATGACCCTGTTAGGGTGCTGTAAAGTAATAAAGAATATTTCAAAGAACATAGGGGAATGAACAAACCCACCAATAGATTTCATGCACGAACCTCTGTAGAAAGTATTTCCTTCCTAACCACATGTGGAAGTCTTAATGATTTCACTGTGTATGAAACAGTGGGATATTGCCAGTTATGAAACAGGATATAAAAAAGCCTATCAATGAAAACCAACATCCTTCATTTGTGGCAGCCAAGGTGCACAGGGAATTCTAAACCATCAAAAGTTAAAATATTCTGCAACCAAGTTCATGCTTCAAAGTAGATGAGCATTTAACATCACTGCACAGAAAAATGATTACCCTTAAATACATTACCTCATCTAAATTTTAGACCACTCTAAGACACCTTCATAAACTCTATGAGTTTAATTTATTAAGACCTCAAAGCAGATTTTAACATATAGAAAGTGCAGACTCTTTATGGCAGATTTTAAATTATTTTTCCATTCAGATGAAAGTACAGGGTGTAAATTTCTGTTTATAGAATGCAATTTGATGCATGACATCATTAATAGTCTAGTGACCACTCTGTCACACTGTGTACTGTGACTAAGAAAAAGGAACCAACCCAAAAATGATACAAACATCGAGTGACAATTTCCAAAATTACACCTACATGTGATATCTGAATTACTCTGAGACCATTTTGATGAGTATTATACGCATATGCCTGAGCAAAACAATAATTTCAAGGTAACACTGTGCAATAAGTAATAATTACTAAGCATTTCTTGTACTTTCTCATCTTTCCCTTACCCTCTTTCTTCCTGGGGCAAAAGTTCACAAACACAGGACTGTCCCATCTGTTTGCAAGATGACTGTTACCACTTACACTCTCAGCAACTTCAGTTTACAAATATTTGGCTGCAGTAAGAGATGATGTGCTTTGCATTGTTCCATCTTTTTTCACCCAGACTGAACTCTCACACAAAACTCCACCTTAAGAGTGATAACTGGTGCTTAAATAAATAGATCAGTTAATATGATGATTTCTTTTTATTCTGCAATGTTCAAAACTCCAGAAAGGATCAGGACTAACTGATGGAGCAATCTGGAGAGGCATTGTTGCTACACTGAAGGGTTTACACTTTAAACAGAAAGCAAACTTCCCCCCAAAACACCACCCTCTCTTAAAAAAAAGAAAATAAAGAAATAAAAAGCAGCCAGCACAGACCCTTGTAGCCCCACAGCAGCACAAAGCAACAGCACTGAGTGCTGGGGAGAGGGAAAAAACTCTTCTCAGTTCTGATGCTCAACCCTCAGAAATTGGATTTTGTGATGGAGCACTCTGCTGTTCCATCCAGGCTTTATAAAGCACAAATTGCACATTTCTTTCACAGTTAGTGGAAACATTGTTTGTGGCAGAAATGATCACAGTGTATATAAACACCAGGACATGAAACACACCAAAATACCTTCTACTATGTAGAATGCCAGTGCAAAAATAGGTTGCTTTGGAATATTCAGGGAAGTGTCTGCAAAAGGTTTGGATCAAAGGTACTGATCAGTGGATTTTACCAACTGGCATGTGGAAGGCAAGAGTTAGTGCCTTTACATTAACCCTGTTATATTTACATGGGGATTCCAAAGGATTTAATTCTAAATATATATACTGCTCAATATGTCACGAGACCCAAAATAAGCATGAACTGTTTCTGTCAAAGGATGACCAAGAATGTACACATGGCTCTGAGCAACGTTTAAAAAGTCTCTCCCTTGCTATAACCTTGGGGATGAACCTGCTGAACATTCATGACTGTGGGGAACTCACCAAGTCCTCCCACAGAAATACAGGGCTTTATGTGCCATATAAAGCTCTCAGCCCATTTTTGGACAGAAGACAGTAGGGTTTGCTAGATGAACCTTGTAGCAACTGAATCATGGACTTTAAAAGGTGAATTTACTTTAGGTGAATTCTTCCCTAGTCATAGGTTTAACTGAACAAATGCCAAGGTGAATTTTCATTTGCTATCCTAATTAAAAAGGAAAATGTAATTTGATGTGATCGAGACTGAGCTTCCATCATCTGACAATTCCCAAGTCCTTCTTCAGGATTCATTTAGAAATATGCTTGATATGAAACACTAAATCAACTGGAAGCCAGCTGTAAAGTAAAAGGGAAGCCAGGAATGCTGTGAAAAAAACCATGGTTTCTAAACTCCAATTTCACCACTTGCTTTCACACCACAATTGTTATATTAGAAATATGCACTTCTCAAATATTGCAATTTAACTTTGGGACTCATTTGTCTTTGTCAAAATTGTTTTTATTTTGTGCAAACTTTGCCTGTTTGCTGAAGAAGATATTTGAAAAGCTTCAAGATTTTTTCCAGGAACCAGATGATATTTATGTTTTTGGAAACTCAATACTGTCCAACATAGAATTCTCAGGAAAAAAAAAAAATCTTTTCACTGATTCTCCAGAGTATTTATTAAGCAACAAATTCCACAGATCAATTCATTTGTCCTGATAGCAATCAAAGAAGAATTTATAATCTTAGTTGATCCAATTAATAAAAAGTAAGGAAAGAAGAAATAAGGTACAAAAGAATTACAGGACCTCATGCACTGTTACCAAGGCATGTAATCCATTAATATATGTGTTAATTTAGTTTTTAAATAATTACTATAGATTTGGGGAGAACAGGACTCAGATGAGGAACCTGAGTGTTGGAGTAGCTGATGAATTTGACATCAAATGCTAGAAAAAAAGAGATTTGTTTAGAAAAACCTCAGTGGAAAACAAGAAATTTTGGACAGTTGGTCATGAATTTTGCTCTCAAATACATCCGAATAACCTACAGTGGGTTATTTCTTGTATTGCTGTTTATGTTACCCATTGTCAGGCATTTTGACACACCAGAATGAGAAAAATTGCTAACAATATTATCTCAAAAAAATCTGAGAATTAATCACTGTGGTTTTGAATTGTAAGCACAATGATTTCCTTTGAATCATTCATCAAAAAGACTGGGAATTCTATGGCTGTTGTGATTTCTTCAGTTCTTTAACTTTTACAGCAGCAGTTCAATGTCCCACTGCATGAGTTGTGTAAATCCAGCAGACTTTTTCAAATAATCTCCAAGAAAAGTTAAATCTCCAAGACAAGTTAAAATTACAAAATTTATAGTCATTTATATGCTGCTGAAATCAAGAGTATTGTTTAGAAATAAAAAAGAAGGAAAGAAAATATTCACAGGTGACTCCTGCTCAAGTTTATATATATATATGCATATATTTGAGATTAATCTAACTTAGAACAGCAGACTTGAACCCTGAGGTTTTATTTTTATCATTTTTATAATTTTCAAGTAATGTAAATCAATATAAGTCTTTAGCGAATAATCCTAAACAATGTAAACATCTATTCATAAATAACAGATAAAATATCTTTGAGAAGGAGCTGTTGCAACAGAGGAGGAATTGAACATGAGAAACTTCATCAAAATTTATCTACTGCAAATAGATTCCTACTGTGGGCAGGCAGGAGGGAGAGCTCCAAACTGGCAGCACCCTGGCTCAAACCACAGAGAGTAGCCTTTACATCTGTTTTTCAAAGAGGTGTCCCCCATCTTCCCTCTTCAAACCAGGCAGCACATCAAGGACTCGGCTTTAACTCCCTGATTGTCTTCTCCCTCCTGTCACCTGTTGAGCACCTCATTCCACATCTCCTGTTTTCACTGGTTCCACAAGCAGCTAAGCACTGAGTGGAACCCCTGCTGCCACAGGATGACTTCTCCTCTCTCAGTGCCGGCCAGCACACGAGAAATGGCCAGAAGGGTGTTTGAAGTGGATTGTTTCATGGCAGTAACATTAAAGAGCACAGAAAAATATCTCTCTTCTATTCCTTACCCTCACATTGTAAGAAAACCTCTCGAGCTGTGTTTAAGTGGTCAGAGCTGTACCCACCTGCACACACAGAGTTCAGCCAGCAGTGCCTGCCTGACAGCAGCTGAGGAAGCAGACTCCTAAAGGAAAAACAGAACATTCTGAAACAGATTTAGGTACAGATGGCCAGGGTAAGAGCTTCCTTACATATCCCAATATGTTAAAATACCAGTTTATTATCCATAGGCTTGTTACACTTGAATATTAAACTAATGACATTGGGCCTTGCCTTTTCAATGTCATTTTTTTTATTTGGGATTTTTTCTTAGACACAAAGAACTATACAATTAAGAATGTAGTTCCAGTACAATATTAAATTTTGCATTATTTGTATTAGGCAAATATGGTCCTACAAAGCCAGGCTGGAAGCCAGATTTCCTGAAACTCAGTTATTTTACATCACACAATATTTAGATTGAACTCTTTTTCCTGGTTTATTACAAAAACAAACTACAGAAGTATGGGGATTTTTCTTGTTTAAAACCAAAGAAAATCCAGAGCTGTTCTAATTTTAAACATTTTAAAGAGGTCACTACACTATTGATTTTGCTGCACAGAGATAGAAAAAGGTAGATGTTATGTGTTCACATCACTTATTCTTCTAAGAATAAGTGATAAAATATTCTGCTAAAATATTTCAAAATGTTTCAAAATTAATTCCTATTCAATCATTTCTCTACAAGATTGATATAAAATGCCACAAAAGCAAAGGCAGCTAAATTCATTTTCCATAGAGGTAGAAGTTCTAATCTTCAGTTCTTAATGCTTTGGAGCAACCTCCAGTAAGGAAGAAGACAGGTTTTATGGTTTCAGATTAAAGCCTCTGAACTTCCCTACATCTGAAAGTTTTTACAGAAAAATATTTCAACATGAGCTGCTTTACAATGCTGGGTCACTCTCACATGTCTGTTAAAATAGAAATTAGAGGTAACTTCCAGCAAAGTCAGGATTGAATCCAGGGAAACCATTCAAATGAATGAGAAGAGAGGTAACCCTCTGCACAAAGCCAAGATTTGGATGGCAGGTGTCCTAGCAACAGATATGGAAAGTTCCAGAATTCACCAGCAGAAGGAAAAAGGTATTTATCTCCTTTGATATAATGTCCTTGAAATGATGTATTACCTGCATTCATGTTACAGTCTCCCCAGTGTTCTTCCTAGTGAATTACTGTGGTCCCTCAATTTATTGCTCCAGAGCTTTGTCACCCTTAGTGCTGTTCAGGGACAAAATGAAAGGAGAGCTCCTGCCCCAAAAGTTTTAATTGCCATGATGATGAAGTCTCTGCTGGAAGACAGTAGGCCTTAGGAAAATAAATTTACAGTCCTTCAAACCCATGATCACTTTCCGCCTTTAAAGAGCAGTGAGCATTTATTTTTTTCTTGCCCTACCCCCTTCCCCAGTGCCGTTAAATGCACCTCTGAAAATTCATCTCTCTGCCTTGAATTTAACAATTTATAGCTCTGCTACTTCATGTGGAATAACCAGAGAGCCTGCTTCTAAATTAAGAACTTCTTCAATTATCTTATTGCTAGCTGCATGTTAGCAGCATTTAAATTAATGAGAAGAGCATTCATTAAAGATAGCTCAGGGACATGTCTGGGAATGCATAATGTGCAAGCTCCAGCTTTTGTCACAGTTACTGTACCAAGTAAAGAAAGTTCCACTTTAATCCCTATTTCTACAGATTGTACCATTCACCCTTCTATACACCTTCCATGGACTTAAGCAACATATTTATTTTCTTTTGTGAGTCCTAGTCTACCCTAAACATTGATTGGTTTAATTTTAGGTAATTTCCTTTTACCAAGTTATGTATCTCTCAGGCTAAAATCTACCCAGTTCAGCCTCCAGCAAGGCTGGGATTCTAATTTACAAATGAAAAATGGATTTTAAGAGGTAAACTGTAAGAACATTTCTTTAGGACATGCTGTATCACTGTGGTTGGTTTTAAAGGAGTTTTCTGCAGTGCACACTAGATAATGCTGAGTCCAAAAAAGACAGACTTTTGCATATATATTTAAAACCATTTTAGAGGCAACAGATTTATTTTTGCTCCTTCAGACTTAGACCATGTGTTTTGGGGTTAAATGTTAACAAGGGCTGCTTAGAAAAACAGAAATCCTGTGCAGCATTTTCTGGTGCTTATTGCCTGAAAGATAAACACCAGTGTCTTCTGACATGATGCAGTCACTTTGATTAGAAAGAAATATCATTACAGTAGTGACACACTGAACCTAAAAATAATTTATAATCAGTGAGTTTCACTATAGATCCTTTTAGAAAATACCATCATTGTGGTAAAAGACAATTCACTAAATCAAATATACAGTGTGTGTTTCACCAAATCCAGGCTGTTAAACAGGTAGCCCTCACTTATTTCTCAAGGAGGAGAGAAAGGCAATCTGTTTAATGCTCTGCCTGGGGAGTCAGGCAGTCTGGATTCTGTTCCCAGCTCAGACCTACACCATTAGTCAAGTCACATCATTGCTCTGCTCTTCATCCCACATTCTTAAATGAGATAATAACATTTCTCTTATTATTTGGTCCCTTCCAAGTATAAGTTCACCATGACAGAAGCCCATTCCTACTATATATGTCTAACTCTCCTGTGCCTTGCATTTTGTTTGGGTTTCCTAAATGATTCCTTATTTTACTAATGACAATGGAATTCCTTGCATAATTCATTTTTAAGGCTAAAACTTACAATAAAGTCTCTAAAGCTGCCTAAATAAGAAAGAAGTAGATATTCATAAAAGTAGGTAAAAGAAAAGAGAGAATTCAAACTTAGAGGAAAATTGCCCTCTCATCAGCAAAATTACTCACTTTCTACTGCCACTTGGCAGCCAAAAGCATCAAAGAGAAGGACAGCAAATCAGCATAATTATGATCTGGTTCTTCAGAACAATGAGGAAACAGATTTACTTATAAAATTTAAAATGTTTACATGAACTTTGGGGGTTTTTTTCTTTTTCTGCACCTGCTTAGCCTTTGTTTCTTAGTTTGTTTTGGTTCTTTAGTTGTTTTTTCCTATTCTGCAGTGAGTTTTGCTTTTGCTAACAATAGCTCTCATTCAGGCCTCTTTTTTTTAATCCCTTCATGGTTACACATATTACAAACAAACACAAAGTTGTATTCACTCAAGAACACATTCTCAGAATTGTCCTCATCATCTGGTTTTCTTCAGAGCATGCCTACTTGTGCTTCATGTGAACCCTTGTAAGGCCTTCCTGCCTGCACTGAGAACCTGCACAGAAATGAGGACCCCTCAGGAAACATGGCAATCCTAAATCTGCTGCAGTTAATCTATCTCCACTGTGGATCCTGTCAGTAACTTTAAGAAACATCAGACTGAGCACACAAAAAATACTGGTGTCTTCATGGGCTAACACTCCCAGTGGGAAATCTCATTAAAATTAGCGGAAGCTCCAATTAACATGTTTCATCAGAGCCTTGTTCAGGGGATTAGTAAAGGTGTATACATCAGCTCTTTTTACAGCTGACACCCTGTTCACAACCAAAGCCAAAGCAGTGGAGCAGCACCTGATCTGTATTCTGGGCCAGACGCTGCCATCAAGGATTAGCCCTGCAAGGCTTCAGCACAAAGCCACTCACAGAGATTGTGGCTTGCAGGCAGGAAAAAGGGCTCATGTTGGTCTCTCTGTTGTGAGAATATTCACTCAGTTTCTCAGACTGCATAAGCACATGGGCAAGTTTTACTTTGGATGAAGAAAATGGGGTCAGGCAACCCTCACACCTGGGATTTTCAGGTTGCAGTTGGACTGACTTTAGTTTATATTTTACTGCTTGCTCTTCTGTCCTACTGAGCCAGCAGCTTTCTTACCTGCACCTCTGTCACTGAGCAAGGTTCCTGCCTCACAGGGCACAAACTTCCTGTAGTCTGTAGGAACTGTAGCTTGGAGCAGGGAAATCTTAATTTTGCCCTCTTGTGCCAATTTAAGCACTGCCAGTGTGACTTCACTGCATTGGCATAATACATTAAAACATTAACGTTAACACACATAAAACATTAAATAGGAATTGAGATGAGATCAGCACATAAAATGACAAGATACAGCCCAGTGCAGGAACAAGTGAACTGGCCTGCTGGAAACTGGTTTTAAATATAAGCACAACAAATTTTCTCTGGGCAATATCAATCTAGGAGAGGGAGGTTTTTGTCTATGAAGCACTTTCCTAACAGGATGCTGTGTTTATTTCTTATTACCCCTGCTTTTCCCTCGGATTTGCAGTTATAGGTTACTGTATAGTGTGTGTTCCACACTGGAAATACTCACTGAGAAAGGAAAAAAATGACAAAAGCTAAAATCAGCCACTAATCCAAAAATAAGAGTTGCATAAAAATTCTTGGAATTTGTTTTCTGTAGCAATAAAATCATTAGCTCCTCTTCCAAAACTTAGAGTACAAACCAAAAACCACAAAACCAGAGTGCAATAAATACTACAGAAGAAAAATTCAATCCTTTGGGAGAAAGAATTCATTCTACCTAATGCAGTGAAGAATTTGAGAGCAGCACATTTTCTAATAAACAACTGTACCTCAGGATAACTTGGTGAACTGTAGTAGGGATTCCAAATTTAATGTCATTTTTAGACCATGACTGGTCTGGTCTAGTAAGTCTCCAGAGTGAGGAAACAGAGCATGAAAAGGCAAAGGAAGGAACTGTTCCTTCCACAGATCAAATTCTGTGTCTACAACTAGAAAGAAGATTTAACTCTCTCCCCAGCTTCTGCATTGCCTTTTCACCTGCCCTACATTTAGATTAAAAAATATATATAGGAAAAAATGCCACAATATTTTAAAAAATTAAAGAAACAAAAGATATTCATAAAACTTGGTCTATTCTACTTAGGAAGTTTCAGGCAGTATGTACAGATTGGCTTAATGTGCAGCACCACTCACTTCTGAAAATTAACTTCTCCCTGCAATTCCATTTTAAAATGTAAGTCTGTATCCATCATAAGAAAGTTGACAATATTATTTTAATTTAAACCTATATTATAAATTCTAAATTATTTGCTCAGCCTTCCTAATGAAGGGGAAAGTGTAATT